AAGAAAGGGCTTGAAGACATTTCCTGGAAAGCTGAACAGCTGAAGAGAAAGAGATTGAAAGGCTAGAAACGGGGGAAAGAGAGACAGAAATAAAAGGTCAGCCCAAAGGGCACAAGGCCGACAGAAGTTACAGAACACGCGGCACGGAGGCAAAAGCAATAAAACAATTAACTGAAGAAACAATGAAAGGAAACTTGGCAGAAGTGAGGGCACGAGTCTTCCCAGCGGAAGGGCAGCGGAGTCTCCAGACGGCTCCTCAGGAGAGGGGCACGCTGCAGGCTGGCGCCGTGGCACTTCAGGAGGAGGGGCCCGGGAGTTTCCGGAGACACAGAACACATCACAGAAGGTCAGGAATCTGGTGGCATTCGTTTCTCAGTGGCAACCCCCGATGCTAGGATACAGCGTGGAAGTGCCTTCCAAGTTCGGAGGGTAATTGCTTTAAACCTCGAATTCTGCAGTCAGACAGGTTATCGAGTGAAAGGGCAGAATAAGGACATTTTCAGACTTGCAGGTTCTTAAAAACTTTCCCACTGTCCACTGGAAAAAAACGCACACATTAGAAGCTGACAGTCACGTCTCGTTCGGCAGACTTCCTGAGGCCCTCAAGCCCGGGAGACAGCCTCTCAGATCGCTCGGAGGGACTGTTCCCAAGAGGTAAGGCATACAGGAGATTTCACAACAAAGACCAGGTAGTCGGAACATCAAAAGGTTACCGTTACAATGAAAGAAAACCAGGCATCCCAAGTTGAGGAACTGAGCCCCTTCTTACGTCTGGGAAGGTGCCAGAGTCTGGGCTCACTGAAATTGTCCCTTCCATGGCCCTGGGCCGTTCAGGGCCAGTGTCCCGGGCTTCCCCACCCCAAGTCCCCGCAGGGGCACCCTGCAGGCAGCTGCAGAGGCTGAGGGTTGGTGGGGCGCCCTGTTTCCACGCTGAGTTCCCTCAGGGCTCACTATCGGGGGGCAGGGGTGGCCCAGCGATGACTCGATGGAGACACACCCTTTGTTCACTGATGTGGCTGCAATGTTTGTCACTCACACCACCACGCACCATGTCCCAGGAGGCTATGAAGGGATGGCGGACACCAAGAGAAGGCAAGACAGGAGGTCCAGGAAACAGTGCTTCCAGGAGGAAGAGAGAGGCAGCCTGCCCTCCACCCCCTGACAGTGCAGCACAGCCCCGTCTGCAGGGCTTACCGCTCAAAGAGAAGTCCGACCTTTGAGTTAAACGGCGGAGGAAAAGCAAAGGACCAGACGTAGAAAACTAAGCCTGAAGGAGAGGAGCATCGGTCAGTCCCAGAGAAAACATAAAGCTGTTCGTGGAAAGAAATGGAACACTAAGCCGTCCCGCGGCTCAATGCACGCTGACTGCCGTCATTTGTGCCCGTTCACACACCAAGCGCTGACTTCACCAGGGGTCATGGCGGACCCTTCTCAGGAGGACGGGAAGCGGCTGCAGGGGTGCACAGGGCGGGAGTTGTGTAAGAGACAAAACTTTTTTTTTAAATGCAAACAATTATGAAGTAGCAATAAAAACAAAACTTATATGTTTAGTGAAAAATAATCATGAGAAACAACTGAGAGAGGAGTGAGCACCTCGGGGAAGGAGGACTCGGGCGGGAGGAGAGGCAGGGAATGGTCTTCAGTGGAGAGCCCATCCTCTTGGAGTTTCAACATCACGTGGACAGATCACTCAGGGAGGAAATGACGTCAAAAAACAAAGATCCAGGAAAAGAATCCACAAGGGGTTGAGTTTCTCACGACAGCCATCACCTTCCCTGACGAGTGGGCCTGGCTCGCCTGCACACCTGAGGTTCTGGACTTTTCCTTTCCTTGAACATCGTAACCAACTGTCACTGGGCCGCCTATGGCTTCTGGAGCAGACCCTGAGCCCACCAAGCAGAAAGCCCCTTCCCCAAGGGTTACAAGGATCAGGAGGGTCCCCAGCACAAGCAAGCTGTCTTCCTCTAGGGGGACACAAATGACACGTGGGCAACTCGTTCTGTGTCACAAGGGGCCGTCCCGAACACTGTGGGGTGTCAAGCAGCACCCCTCTTCCCACTAGATGCCAGGAGCACCCCCTCAGCTGCAACCCCAAAACTGTCTCCAGATGCTGCCAGGCATCCTCTCTGGACGGGGCTGCCAGATTCAGCAAACAATACAGGACACTCTGTTCGATTTGTATTTCAGGGAAGCAATAAATAACTTTAGTGTAAGTATGTCCCAAGCAATAATTGGGATATACTTATGCTTTTTTTAAAAAAAGCCTATTTGTTTACCCAAAGTTCCAAAATTCACATTTGGCCAGGCATTCTGTGCTTTATCTGACAACCCTACCTGGTGGGCAAAGTCGCCCCCAGTTAGCAAGCAATTTTCTCATTGCTCATCTCCGCCTGGGTATCTTCTGTCTGCTTGTTATAAACACACGTGCCGTTCTATCCCTAGCCTGTTGACACTGTTAAACACACGTACATACTGAAATTTTAGAAGAATGACATTCAAAGTCCAGAGAACTCACACCAGAGGCTCAAGAAGTTGTGTGTGAATCCACCCGCAACAGGACCACCTGCAGACTCCCAGGTGCTTTCAGAGAAACCGTGCACCCCCCCGCCGATGCGGACTGTCACAACACAATGGGCTGCTGCAGCTCTCCGCCACCCCTCGCCTTCGGTTCCTCGTCATTCGTGTGCTCATCCCTTCAGCAAGGACCAAGCCAGCTGCTGACTCTGGAGAGCCCCGTGCTGCAGCCTGGCGCCAGGGGACTTTAGGATGGAGGGTCCTACAAGTTTCCAGCAGCATGGGGTGACCTCCCAGAGCGGGGACAGACCCAAAATACTAAATACACTCACAACGTGCGGTGGGGGCCATGTGCCGAGAAGAAAGGGAGGAGGGGCAGGGACGGAAGTTGCCCAAGGCAGGGCCTTTGGGCTGAGCCCGCATGTTGTGCAGAGCCGGCGGCACGGAGGGGTCTGGGCAGAAGGTCCTCAGGCAGAAGCCAGGATGCTAGCCCAGGGCAGGAGGGCAGGTGGCAGAGGGGACCAGGCTCTGAGAGGGGACGCAGGACCTCTCTGGTTGCTCTCTGGAGGACGGCCACAGGGCAGGGGGATCAGGGAGACCTGTTAGCAAGCCTTGGCTGACGTCCAGGTGAGAGAGGAGGGGCTTGGACCTGGAGCAGGTGATGGAGGTGGTGGGAGATTTTGTATTTATCTTCAAAAAGGCCCCAGAGGACCTGCTGAATGACAATCCACGTAGCAGGCAAGATGGGGGTCCAGGTGACGCGAGGGTTCTCAGCCCAAGAAAACAGAAACAAGGCACTGCCTGTGTCTCTTAGGAGAGCACACGGGAGGAGCCGGGTGGGGGCGGACAGAGGCTGGGGACTAGAGGGTGCCGGCGTAAACAGTTTTCCAGAAAGCGCCGGTCAGCACGGATAAGCTGTCCTTCCCTCTCCTGGGGAAACAGACAGACGCGTACGTGACGGTGCCCCGTGACTAGCAAGGCTGCAGACGGGTCAGCCATGGTCCTCCTCGTTACTGACCTCACGGTGGCTGCGATGGGGAGCGAAGCGGGCCAGAGGGCGTCTGCTAGGTCTGGGGCAGGAACGGAGCCCAGGAGACCGCTGGGAGCTTTTCTTGGGAGTTACGACAGCGACCACACGATCGGTGCGTAAAGCACCTCCCTGTCTGTGACCTTGGCCTCCATCCTCACGGCAGCCCTGTGAGGCGCCGCTGTCCCCGGCAAACAGTCACAGGAAGCCAGGCAAGAGCGGGGAGGTGGGCGCCCAAGGCCACACGCCAGGCTGGCGGCCGAACTCAGACCAGGACTCCGACCCTCGGCTCCCAGCTGGCGCCCCCTCCCCCCGCCCTCAATAAGCACCTTTCAGAGACGGCACTGGAGCCCAAGGAAAGGGGCCTGAGGCAGCAGCCACGAGGCACAGGCAAATGAGAACCCCAGTGAGGCACCCCCCGCACCCGTCAGGACGGCCCAGCTCACAGACCTGACGGCGGGGCCGCCGGAACCCCGGGCTGCTGGTGGGAGCCCTCGGAGCGCAGCCACTTCGGACGAATTTGGGCAGTTTCTCATACAGCTACACCTGCTCGTACTGTGCAGCCCAGAAACCCCTACAAGCGTGCATGGAGCCTGGGATGGGCGCTGGTGCGAGGGGCAGAAACGCCAGCAGGACTCCTGGGCTCCTGCAGTGCCAAGCACGGCTGCCAGGGCCCAGACGCCCAGACGCCTTCAGCAGGTGTTCTGGAAAACCACCCAGCAACTGAGATGGGCAGGCCATTAACGCCGAGACAATGTGGCTGTCAGACAGTGACAAGCGAAGGAAGACAGATGCCAAGGTGACACCCGGCCACCCCTTCCAAGGACATCCCGGAAAAGGCAAAACTGCCACAGGGACAGGAGTCCGACGGGGCTGCCGGGGGCCGGCGATTGGGAGCGCTGACTTCAGAGGGCACAGGGGACTTCGGCAGGGGGCAGAGCCGCTCCGCATCTTGACTGTGATGCTCACACGACTGCGTTTGCTGAAACTCAGAACAGTGCAATGGAAAGGGTGGATTTTACTGACGTCGACTGTGTCCCAATAAACCTGACTTAACCACAAAAACTGGACCAAGTCCCTCTCCCACTGCGGACATTCAACATCTTTTCATTTCTCTTCAGATAAAGCACAAGCTCCTTCCCTCGGCCTCTGAGGTGCGCGTGGTCTGGCCCTGCCCTCCTCTTCATCCTCCTCCCAGTCAACCCTCCCACACAACAGCCACGTGCACGTCTTCCCAGTCCTCAGGGATCCCACACACTCGGTTCCCGGTCCCAAATGCTCTTCCCTCCACCCCTCCCACACTCTTCCTTCTCAAGCTTCAGACCTTTGTACCCACCATCTGCCAGAGGAGGCTCCCAGTTTGCCGTTCGTGGGTCTCCCCTCCACCATGAGTTGCAATCATCTTCTCACTGAGCTGTTTGCCTGTTTGTCTGTCTCCCCACAAACGACACACACTCAGTTTTTTTTCTCACCACCGATGTCACACCACAGGCGTTCAATAAAAGTCATGGAATAAGAAGAGAAAGAATGAACAAACCAAGTTCTGGGGAGGACAGACAAAGTGACTTCTCTACACCCCAATCTTTGGCAAAAGAAAACTCCATCAAAAAGGACCTCGGGCGAGGTGACAGCCCTACCTTGGGCCACCGCAGACCAGCAGAGCTAAGTGGCTCCGAGTCCTACGTGTCACAGCACCAGGTCCCTGGATTCCCGGCTCAGCGCCCGTTGTCAGCCTGAAAAACAGACAGGGAGAAAAAAAGTTAGTAGCTTTCCTGAGAGTCTGCTCTTTCCCAGCTGCTGGCTTTGCTCAGCCTAAAATCGGCAGAAAATGTTCGGCCAAGCCCAGTGCCCACTTCAACACGCAGCTTCTGAGTTTGGGGCCAACCATCAGTCTTTTTAAGATGAGGTTATGTTAAGTCTTGGCTGAAATAACAGGGTCAGGAAGAAGCTTATAAAAAAAGATTGGAAAGGCTGCCCGCACCCATTAGCTATTACAAAACTGCATTTTGATGAGCAACGTGTAGATGAATCAGCTCCACGTGGCCCCCGTCTCCCTGGAAACACCCACAGGCCTGACCATCAGAGCGGGTGGCTGGAGAGGTGGGGCCCAGGGAGGGGGACTCTTTGAGGCCAAATGGCATCACAGGTTTTGCCAGAATCCCAGGGTAGGGAGGGGTAAATAGCTGAAGACATCTGGCTGATATAAAAACACGGCTGGATTCACCCTTCCTCGAAGCAAATATTATTCTCATTAAAACATAATCAGATCATCTGTTGGGAGGAGCCGTCATGCAGGAGAGCGACACAGAGAAGCCCTTTTGTTACGTGCAGCTGCGCTCAGCAGCAGGGCCGTGGGAAGGAGGCCCGGCGCCACCCCTCAGCCTGGTCCCTGCCCTGCACAGCTCCCTCCGAGGGCTGGTGAGACTCAGCCTGGCTGCTCCCTCCCAGCTTGGTCTCTGGGCCTCTCTCACGTTGGCAGTCGCCTTCCTGATTCTCAACGTCCGGAGCTGGAGGTCTCGACTCAGAGACATCCCCCAGCCTGAGGGTTGTTTCATGTGTCTGCGTGGCCAGGCCACGACACCCACTGCTGACTCAAATGTCAGTACCGATGTTGCTGTGGCTTTGGCACATGTGGCTGGCATCTGCAATCAGCTGGCCCTGAGTAAGGGGGATGACCCTTTGGAAGGTGTGTTGGCTTCATCCAACCAGTTGGAGTTCTGAGCAAAAACTGAGGTTTCCCAGAGAACAAAAAGGCCGCCTGTGACTGTAGCAGACAGCCTGCCAGAGATTCCAGCCTGTTGACCTGCCCTACAGATTTCAGACTTGTCAGCCCCACAATCCTTAGAGCAAAAAATAAATCTCTCTCTCTGCAGATAGGCAGATAGATTAAATAGATAACTGATGGATACCCCATGGGTTCTGTTTCCCTGGAGAACCCAAGCTGATACCCAGAGAAAGCAAAGATCTGTCAGTCCCCCACCCCCAAGGCTAGCCCTTGAAAACCCCTCCCCCAGGGGGCAGCGCAGAGTGGTAGTTAAAAATGCTGACCCTGGGTTATATAGAGTAAAAGAACCAGGGCAGTGGTTGCCTCAAGGTGGGGGCAAGGACTGCCTGGGAAGGGGGCACTTCCTGGGGGAGAAGGAGGTTCCATGTCCTGATAGGGGAGGGGGCCACAGGTGTTTGCTTTTTTGTTAAAACTCAGCAAATGGCACACCTCACGTCTGTGCATTTCACCGTAGGGAAAGTCTCCTCACTGACGTGAACATTGCACTGCGGCTGATGGAACGCGAGCTCCGGTGTTTGAGGCGAAGGGTCTGCAGTTGCTTTTTGAAATGCACGCAAAGATACGACGGATCCTCAGATCGGGACCAAGGGGCAGGGGCTGGGGGTGGATGGGTGGACGTCTGGTAGAGTGAACGCGGCGCAGTCTTCACGGTGGAATCGCGCGGTGGTATGTGGGTGTTCGCGGCAGAGCAGGTTGAGCTCCTGTCTGTCTGAACAGTGGGGCCAGCCTGTCTGTCACGGGTCCTGACTGTGCTGGACACCAGCTTCCTCGCCACGGCGCCTGAGTTCCTCCAACTGAAGATGGTGAGTGATGCTGGCGCCCACGTCCAGGGTCGAGTGGAGATTAGAAAGCTGATGAGTACAGGTGCTCAGCCTCACCAGCCACTCTCTGCAGCCACTTCCCCTTGAAACTCTAGGAACTGAGAAGCTGACGTGGTCAGACAGCTCGAAGCCCCGAACTTCAGATGAGCACTGGGCTCCCGAGTGAGCACCTCACTGACACGGTGACAGGAGAGCGGAACAGATCCCGGCAGCAGCACCCTCACCCCAAGACCCTCAGCAAGCACCAGGGAACGTCAAGAGGAAGGCTCACGGGGACCAGGATGAACGAGAAAAGTTATAGCCACCCAGGGCGGCATGAGCCCAGGGCTGGGGGAGCCCAGAGCAGGCACAGCTGTGTTCTGTATGGAGAGGCAACGGGCAGCCTCCTGGGGGAGGTGTTCAAGGTGGGCAGGACTTCAGTGGATGGACGTGGGACCCCGACTGGATAAAAGATGCCCTGTGATGCAAGGTTCTGGTCCACAGTGGTTCTGCCCTCCTACAGGGCTACAGGTACAGCGGGTCCCGTCTGCTGGCCACCTGGCCTGAGCCAACCTGGAAGCCACCCTTGGTGTAGCACATGATTCTGCTTCATTGAAAGGGTCCCTGGCCCATCCCAGCCTCCAACAGACAAATGCACTGTCCAGTCAGAAAGGATTCCACAGACCACCATCTGGAAACCCAAATTCCAGCTGTTACCCAGCAAGGACTTGGGAGGTTTCTACTGGCACTGTCCTATTTTCCTGCCACTTCCTCTGATGACTGGAGACTCACAGAGCCATGAAATAGTGTGAAATGATGTGCCAACAAGGAGATTGTGTTGTAATGAACCAGGAGAACACGCTTCAGGTTAAGAAAGGAAGAAAACTCCAAAAGTATCAGTGATGTCCTTATTAATGGTTAAGTTTAATCCACCCATTCTCCCACCCATCCACCCACCCATCCACCCATCCATCATCCATCCATCTACCCATCTATTCATCCATCCATCCATCCACTCACCATCCAACTTTAAAGAACCTTACATTGCTATACCCTTGGTACATGCTGGGTTTACAAAGTTACAAAGGCACTAATTATTTGTTGGATAGCTGGATTAAATAAACAGTAAACACAAAAACAAGTAAGATATCATTTACATCCTTAAGGAGCAAGGGAAGCAAAGGGAAACACAAGAGTTATGCCACAAGTGAGATGTTATGGAACATCGTTAGGGTGACAGTACAACTTAGGGAGCAGACCAGATATTGAGGAGAATTTAAGAGGTGCTGAAAATAACTTCCAGAGTGTACACGTTTTCAGAGTATCTATAGTCTGACATTTCTATTTTCCCTACTGGTGGGCCTATGAAACAGTTCTATTTAAAATCTATTATCAAAAGCAATGAAAATGAATATATGTATGTCTATGCATGACTGGGACGTTATGCTGCACACCAGAAATTGACACATTATAACTGACTGTACTTCAATTAAAAAAAAAAGAGTAAATTATTCCAAGACTGTATCCGTGTGTACTAAAGCAAAACTTTAAAAATTCTTTGTATTTATTATCTAGACATTAAAAAAAACACCAAGCACACAAATTACTCTTGCTCCATACTCAAAAGCTTTAATTTGCTTTTAAAATGAAACTGGCTATAATACGATGTCACTGATTTTTTTTGAAGAACGTCTTTTTTCATTATTTATTACTTTTATTTTTTTCATAAACTATCACCAATCCTCTTCAGTGTTAAACTTCATGACCAATAAATTCAAAATTGTTCACACCTCTGGCTCACCGTCTGTAAAGTGTAATGTTTATTGAGAAAATTCTTTTCTTACAGGTGCTAACAGATCTAGTAAGCGCAAGGCAAATTTGGCCAAGTAGAGGATTTTCTCAATTCTCATTTTTCCAGATGGAAATATGTGTCTATTTCAGCCTGGATGTTTGGGCAGGGTCTGTGTTTTTGTCTCCATCCATCCAGAGAACTTCTCGTCAACAACTATTTTACAAGCTGAAATTCATCCAAAAAAAAAAAAAGTCTCTACGATTCTTTCCAATGTTTCACCAAATTTAAAGCTTCAAAAATCTTAGGCTATCTCAAGTACATTCCATTTGGGTACAGAATATAAATATATCCAATTTTAAAACGTGAACCTTGTTAGAAGATTCATCCACAGGTCCAGAACATTCCATGATGGAATTAAAGCGTCGTCCCTGAAGACCCCCAAGCCAGGACCACAGCATGTGCCTCCCCTGTTCCTGTGACTTTGTGGGGAAACCTGTCAGCGTCCCTCCGTGAGCTCGCTTGCTCCGTGACGACTGTGCTTCACTCAAAGCACAACGAACTGGAGTTTTCTGGCACAACATTCACTAAAAAATGTGACGTTTCCAGTGGCTTTTGGATGGCATGCACCCCAGGTTTAAAGGGCTCACTTCCAGAACAATTAAATGCCACTGCGGGCCACTCAATTCCAAAGGCTCCAACGCTTCTGAGCTGCGGAGGATGACGGCAGGGCGCACAGGGTCAGGTTGCCCCAGGGAACTTTCTTTTGGTTTCAATTCAACATCGCTTCATCCCAGGCCTTGGGGTCCAGTGAGTCTGCGTCATGTGCATGCATTCTGACAGCCCCGCTGCCCTCTCCAGCGGTGGGCGAGTACTCCGAGGCAGCCAACTCTTGCAGGGCAGCACTGTCAGTTCCAAGCATATTTCTGCTCCAGAGATGTCTCAGTTTGGCAGACACATTATTTTTAGTGTGATGTGTGTCCTGCCAGAATTTGCATTTGTGTTATCACTGCAAAAATAAATCATTGTTCCTTCCATGTTGAACTTTTAAACTGAATTAGAGAAAGCCTTTACATTATTTCTTGTTTGTCCTTCCCCTGCTGGCGGGTGGCCTGGGGCTCCGTGCACCCAGCAGGCCGCTGCTGGGGACGACAGTACGGTGGCCGGAAACCAGAAGCTGGCAGGGCAGCAGGTTCCGGGCCTTTAAAACAAATGCACTTGTTCAATCTTTCAGTCCTAGCTACACGCTCTTGTCCCCCAAATCTCTGACCTGATGTCTGCTGTCTTTGCTTCAAAGGGAGATTAGTAAGCTTTAGAGGCACGACTGAGTCTCCCTCCTGGTCACATCACAGCACGAGAAAGAGCAGGGAGCTGAGTGGCCACCGAGGGGCTCGAGGGGTGCAGGCTCTGTGCACGTGGAATCATTTGCACAGGACGTGGGAAACTCCCAGAGAGGCCGCATTTGAGGAAACTGAGTTGCCGAGGTCACCAGGCCGTGGAGGGACCTAAGCACCGCCCCTCAGACAGGCTGGCGGTTGAGGCCAGAGGAGGCCTCTTCTCCGCAGGATGCACCACGGAGCCCCTGCCGTCCAGTCTCCACCCTCAGAGCTTCTGGGCACCATGGGGACAACAGCCCAGCCCCTGCCACCCAGGACAAGGCCCAGGGACCGCTGGGCTCACGTCTGGTGGACAAGCGAGCTCTTGCACAACAGGAAACATGAAACATCCCCTAGAATATAGGAAATAATTTTAAATTATAGGAAGAACGTTAAACATTTAGAGGCTTTGGTGGAATGCAGCTCTGCTTCGAAGGAAAATGAAAAGTCAGAAAAACAGGCTCAGCTGCTGTTTTCATTTCAAGGAACCACGTTGGATGCGAGAAGCACGTGGGGCAGACGATCCCCCTCGCCCCCGCCCCCCAGACCGTGCTCCCTCCTCCACGGCCTCTCTGCAGCCCCACTCCAGGCGCCAGTGCTTTGCCAGGAGCGGAAGACACAGCCCATGAGTGGGCCTGCGGTCTAGGGGCTCCCGTGCCCCTTCCTTCCACAGTGTCCACAGCCCCAAGGAAGCCGAGGTCGAGAGGGTAAGTGCCCGGCCCAGCGTCACACTTGGACGTACAGCACCCTCTCCCGCAGCAGCGGCAGCCCAAGTCGTCCAGGGCGGTCTGAGGGCCAAGGGCCGGCAGTGAGCTCCGGGCCCCGCCTCCCGATGGGGGCAGGACAGGGGAGGCCCGGCACCTGCGGAGGAGGGGACAAGCCAAGCGCATGTGCCAACAGGACTGCTCCCTGGGATGGAACTAAGCCGGAGGTCAGCAGCAGCAGGTCTTGGGTACCAACCTGGAGGAAGAAGGAGCCAAGAGCCTCTGAGCAGGTGAGGGAGGTCCTGGCAAAGCCCTTCCCTGGTGGAGGGAGGGAGGGAGCGGAGGGAGCAGGAGGACGTGGGTCCCAGGGCGGGACCTCCCACAGACCAGCTGGTCATCCAGTGAGGCCCTGGGAGTCCCGCTGGCTGCCAGCACTCAGCAGTGACCAGGTGGGTCAGTCCCTACCCTTGTGGGGTTGTACAGTCACATAATGACCATGAGAACCAAAGGACGTCAGCTGACGCAGGGCTGCAGCAGGGCCGCAGCAGGGCCGGGGCCCCGACGGGACGTCTTGGAAGGAGGAGTGAGTGGCAAGACGATGTGGCGTCGCCAGCGCTGGGGGCGTGGGTACTGCCCACAGGGAGGATCTGGGCGTCTCTTCGGTAACCCCACTTCTAGGTAAATCAGACCTTCACGGCAGTGCCCACCCACTGAGGCATCTCTGACCCCTGAGAGGGTCTGCATGGTGTGGTCACCAACAGCGGGGTTTGGGGGACCTTGGGAGGTGGATGACGTGGAGTGGGAGACCCGAGAGACGGGCACTGCCCGCCCTGGAGGGAGAGTCTCAGCTGCCCCACGAGCAGCAGCTGCAATGGAGGAATAACTCTCAGCGAGAAACAATCTAATTATCTTGCCGTGATTTTGCACAGGAAGCAGAACTTGGCACAAACAGGATCCCCGGAGCTGGAGGAGCAGCTCGGAGTCCTGGCCGTCCCGAGCCCAGAGGCACGCTGTGCCCATGTGAGATGACGAGGCCCCGACCACGCAGCCAAGCTCCGCGTTCTTCCGCTGGCTCCAGTGGCACAGAACGTGCTGGTAGAAAGGACACCAGCACAGCAGGAAAGTCCAGGGAGGGTGGTGGTCTCAGCTTCAGCCTCAGCCCGTGGCGGAGCTGGGCAAGGGTGGCCCTGGGCTGGTGCCGGCCGCAGACGACACCCATGT